CAAGACCCTGGGATCATGACCTGAGCCGAAGGCAGACACGCTTATCCGACTGGGCCACCCTATTGTTCCTTAAACTTGACAGTGGATTAAAAAATTGAGATTTTATGATTCAATAGTATATGAATAATACCTAATCATTAGAGCTGCCATTTACTGAGCACCACCATCTATCCTGTGCCAGGAACTTTATCTACAAATCGGATTTTATGGAATGGAGGATGAAATTCAGAGACTAAAGAATTTGTTTCAAGTCACATACCCTCTAAGTGACAGTGGGGAAGAGAACTTGAGTCTGTCTACCCTAAAGCCTGGTAATGTTCCCAGGGTCACTCAAGGGTGGGGCACCTGGCTGACTCAATCGGTAGAGCACGGGACTCTTAATCTCAGGGTTGTGGGTTCAAGCCCCATACTGGGTGTGGAGCCTAATTAAAAAAAAAAATGGGGGGTGCCAAGTCTTGTGAGGTCCGTTACAATACCCTGGTAGGGCAATGGGAATGTTTAGATGCTGGAAATTCAGCTTTCAGGAATGGGTTTGAGCAGCTTAAGAGGCTGGCCAGTTAAGTTTTTTTCAAATTTAGGATTTATTCTTTGGTTTAGTCCCCAAATCCTGCCAGGTCTCTTTCTTTCCTAATTACTCCTTGGAAAATACTACTCCCACTGACCTTGACCATTTTGTTTTCAGAACCTGCCCTATCCCCATCATTATGGGTGGGATGAACAGGCAAGAATAGGGAAAGGGACTCTCAATAAACAAGCCCCCCCCCCGCCCCCATGGACTCTGGAAAGTAATTTCTGGTTCTGCTCTAGACAGACTGGTTTCGTTCAGCTCAGTCATTTTGATCTGTTCTTAGTGAAAAGGGGAGCAGAAATAGGCTAGATGGCTTTTAGGTCCAGAACCCTTCCTTGACAACATCTCAACTCTGACCTCTGACAGAGGACATTGACCTAGGAAACCAGATAGGTAGCCCTGGGTTCACTATTAACCCAGAGCACGTGTGGGCAAATCACGTCCCTCTCTGTCACATTCACCAATCCTGCGAAATGAGGCCATAGGCCAGGAGATTAAGCATGCTTTCTGCTGTCTCTTTCCACTATAAACTCCTTCCATCTAATTATTCAATGTACAGTTACATCTCCAGGGTATTAAGAGGTGGAAGAGTCAATGTGGACTATCTAGTCAAAACCAATGAGTTCACAGAAAATGGAGGCTCTGGAAATTTCAGCCATTGCCCCAAATCACAGAGTTAGATGGAGGCAGGGGTAGGCCAGAAATCAGGTCTTTTCACTTCGCCACTCAACCTAATACTGCCTCACACAAGCACAGCCCTTCTCATCCCACTTCATTCTGAAACCCTCAGGGGCGCCTGCGTGGCTCAGTCGTTAAGCGTCTGCCTTCGGCTCAGGTCATGGTCTGGGATCCAGCCCCACATCCGGCTCCCTGCTCAGGGGGAAGCCTGCTTCTCCCTCTCCCACTCCCCCTGCTTGTGCTCCCTCTCTCGCTGTGTCTCTCTCTGTCAAATAAATAAGTAAAATCTTAAAAAAAAAAATCCTGAAACCCTCAGAAGACGTAATCACTACCCATTTCGCAGACTAAGAAACCGAGACCCACAAAGTTTCAAGGCCACGGAGAGTTGGGGTCAGTGCTGGGCGGAGGAACGAGGTCCCCTCCTGCCCGTCCTAGGGCCTCACCCTCGAGGAGGCGGCAACGCTGGTGGAAGACGTAGCAGGCCTGATCCTTGTACAGCGGCTGCTCGTGAACCGGGGTCGGGCGGCGGAACTTTGGGTGCGTCCAACCGGGGTCCCAGGGCGGGAAGACCGGCCGCGCCAGCCCGGGCATGAAGTGCATCTTCCCCGCGTACGTGATGGGCTCCAGTCCAGGGATCTCGTACACCCTGTCCAGGGGACGAGGCTCGGGCTTCCGCGTGGAGCGCACGCCCCACTCGTACGCCCCGCGTCTCGGAGCCCCGCAGTCCCCAAGGCCGAGGCGCCCAGGGCGAACCAGTGCCCGCCTGGCGGGCCCCGACGTCAACGCCATACCTACTTGGTTTCCCCCTCAAGACCTCCACCAGGACGCCGCCATGTTCCCGCGCGCAAGGCCTGCTGGAAGCGAAAGGGGCTGGGCGCCAAGGCTCGTTTTATGAGTGGCAGTCACTTCAACCAATCATATTCAAGACGTATTTGCCTTGCCCCACCCCTCCGGCTATTTTCATTTTCTCATAGGTGAGACCCCGCTAGGCACTTCCCGCCTCCCGGGGTGGGGGCGGCACCTGGAGGAACATCGCTCGAGGGGAGGCGCAGGTGTGTAGGTGAGTGGTCTTGATAGATGCTGCGATAGGACCAGGGGTAGAATACCAGCACTTCAAACCTGAATTTAGGGCAACCTTGACCAGTTACAAGCAGCTGAAGCTTGGGCAGGGCACTTCCGTCTGAGCCCCAATGTCCCTCACTGTAAAAATGGGTTAGAAATGCGTAAGTTAGCGTGCCTGCACAGCGCCCGGCCGGTAGTGGATGCGCTGAAGTTTCTTGCCTCACGTCCCACTTCTCACTGCTGCGGAGCCTTGACCGCTGCCCCTCCCCGAGCCCGAGAGTGGCCCTGCCCAACCACACCAGCGCTGCATCGACTGCGCGCCCCTTTCCCAGCATCAAGAGAGAGCTAGTTTCCTCCCTTTTCTTCGGTGTTTCCCTTTCTGCCTCCTAGAAGCAAGGCCTGAGCTATGGAGGTGTGCTTTGCTCCTTGCGCCAACACCAGTTTATCAAACGCTTGCAGTGTGTCAGTCGCTGTGGTGAGCATTGGGTTTGCGTTGGTGAATAAAATAGCTATGGAATGTAGAGCGTATGGGCAGAAAGCAAGTAAAGTCAATAAATAAGCAATTGGAATACGCACATGTATTTCCTGTTTGTTTTCCCCAGTTGTTTTTCTTTTTAGCACTTAACACTAAATGTCGCGTTTTCCATTTTGATCTTGTCTAATGACTGTCTCTTCCACCAGAATGTAAACTCTATGAGTGCAGGGGGTTTTGCTTCCTCACTGCTCTATCCCTTGCACCTAGAACAGTGCCTAGCACTAGTAAATATATGCTAAATGAATCAATACACAACAGAAATAAATAGAGTACTTGATAGAGAATGAGAAAGGGGAGGTTCAGGGTGGGTCTCTGAGAGGAAGTGACCTTTAAGGAAGGCCTGAAGGGTGGGGAGAGTCATCCCACCAGAGACAACAGCATGTGTCAAGACCTGGCTTAAAGGTAGTGCTTCTTAGACTGAAGAGGTGGAGGATAAGAGGAGGCAGAAATCAGGTCTTTAAAGTTCATGACCGACTTGGCCAACTTCCCTGCCAATTTCCAATATACCAAAGAAAGTAGGGTAATTAAGACACGGAGAAGGTAAGTTTAAGGCAAATACTGATAGGAATAACCCTCATGCTGTCTTGCAGTTTACAATTAACAGAGCTTTCCTTTCTCTCACTTATCTTGCAAAAACTTCAGGAGTAAAAAAAGCATAAAGAGGGCTCCAGACTTCCTTCACTCACCATACATACCTGGTCCATAGCACAAAATAAAAATGGGTTGAATTGATAGAACACCATGCTAGGCTGCAAGCTCTATAAAGGTAGAGAGCCCATGTCCTATTTATGTCTTGTGTCCCAGCACCTAACACCGTGCCTGGCTCTCAGACCTTATCTATAAACTGAATGAGCGCTCACCATTCACTGGAGCCTTCCACATGCCAGGCTTGTGCTTGGTGGTAGAATACAGAAAGAATAAGACATCATCCTTGCCTTCAAGGGGGTTGCAGCCTGCTAAACCTTCCTGAAGTCATAGAGCTCATGAACAGTAGAACCAAGTTTTCTGAAACCAAAACCTTTCTTGTATAAGAGAAAGATGTATTGCACGCAGAGGGACTGCCCTTCTAAAACCAAGTGGTAAGAGGATTTGGACAAGTTCTGATCAGAAGGAGCCTGGGGCACCAGGCAAGGAGACTGGATTCGAGCCAGGAGGCAGCTGGGGAGCTGTTAAAGGTTGCTAAGCGGGAGACTGGTGTGATCAGAGCTGGTGGCAGGTGTGCTGATGGATGGTGTCGGGAGAGACTGGAAACATCCTCTGGGACCATGGGAAGCTCCAGTGTAAATGGACATGGGAAGTAGGAAAAGTAGAAAAGGTCTTAAAGGTTAGGAATCATGGGAAGTGATTGGTAACCGAGAAACGGGACCTCTCTGTCTTTTAGGAGTTAGGTGACCTTGGGTAAGTTATTAACGCCCCCCCCGACCCCAGTTTTCCCATTTAAAAAATGACATCTCTAGTACCAGCCTCATTATAAAGATTAAATGAAATGCAGCAATTTGATGGGTGACTTACCTGAATGAAAGAAAACAGATATAAGGGGCGCCCGGGTGGCTTAGTTGGTTAAGCATCTGCTTTGAGCTCAGGTCATGATCCCAGGGTCCTGGGATCGAGTCCCGCATCGGGCTCCCTGCTCAGCAGGGAGTCTGCTTCTTCCTCTGTCCCTCACCCCACTCATGCTCGATCTCTCTCTCTCTCTCTCACAAAATAAATAAAAAAATCTAAAAAAAAAAATACTATTTAAAAAGGAAATGATTCTGTTGACGTAAAGGTAAAAACTGGGCAAAGCTGAACTATAGTGGTTAAGTTTGTATGCAAAGGTGGCAAAACTAAGGAAAAGCAAGGGAATGGTTATACCAAAGGTCAGGATGATGGTTACTTTGTGGGGGATGGGAGGTGATCAGGAAGGGACACGTATGTGGGGCTTTTGGGTCGCTAGCCAGGTTCTTTGTACTTTACTATGTGGTAGTTACAAAGGTGTTCCTTTCTAACATTTTAACTTATTTTTGAATAGTTTTGATAATTATTAAATTGTACGTAACTGTTGTATTTTATCGCTTAAAATCTTTTTAAATTCAGTGAGCTTTTCTATGTGAAGTGCTTAATCCAGCACTCGAAGCACAGGAAGAAGTCAGGAAACTTCAGGCACCAGCTCTGATCGTTGTGCCCTGTCTGCCTGCCTCCCCTGCCAGGCAGCAGGTCTCAGGGTTGATTCATCCCTGACCCAGTGCTCACACGGAGTTTGGCACCTGCAGGCCTCAGGGAGAATGGGAGCAATCGAGGTTGACCAGAGTGTAACCCACATGTTTTCCCTCTCTCAGGCCAATGAGGGAGGGCCTGGGCCCAGGGCCTCACGGAGTCAGACCTGTTCTGGGAAGAGCACCAAGTTGTCCCTCCCAAGCTGGTCAAGCCCCACTGATGATGGATGAGAGGGAGGAGGATGCCGATGAGGAAGCCTGGCTGCAGCTTCGGCCGGTGGAGCCCTTGCCCTCCCAATGCTGTGGCAGTGGCTGCTCACCTTGTGTGTTTGACCTCTATCACCGGGAGCTGGCAAGGTGGGAGGCAGCCCGAGCCAGCAAGGACAGGAGCCTGCTCAGTGGGGAGGAGTCCCAGGTGAGGGAGGGCTGCTCCTCAGACAAGAGGGGTCGGGGTGGCAGTGTCAGCCTGGCCCCTGCCCTGCACAGTGACTCTGCACGGCAGAGGGGTCCAGGTTCAAAGCCTGACCCAGAGCTGGGCGTGGGGTCATGCCAGGAGTGAATGAGGTTTGGGCATTTTACAGGAGAGAGATCTGTGAGTCATGACATTCAGAGAAGGCTTCCTGGAGGAGGTGCAGGTGGGTGGAATGTTAAAGGCAGTGGGCTGAGACTTAGAAGACGTGAATCTGAATTTCTGCTCAGGGTGTGACCTTGGACAAGTAAGCCACTACCACTCAGGCCTCAGTTTCCCCACATGGAAAACAAGGATATTGGATTAGAGCATCTTAAGGTCCCATCAATTTCTAAATTCTGCAGATCTGGATTTTTAGCAGGTTTGAAGGATGAGTAGGTATTTCATACATTGGAGATGAGTGTTCTGGACAAAGGGCACAGCTCAAGCAAATAAAGACTCCCAGATAGGAAGCAGCAGGGTATTCTTGGGAGAACAGAGAAAAGTTTGGCATCTGATGCCTGGGAGAGAAAATGAGGCTTGAGGTTTGTCCACGGGGCCCTGCAGTGTCCAGCCAAGGAGGCTGCACTTTATCCTGGGGCTGAAGGAGCCGCGGAAGGCTTTTGAGCAGGGGGAGATGAGTCTGAAAACCTCGGGCCTTCTTAGATCAGAGCATGAAAGGGAGGTGAGGTGGGACTGCTCTCTATTACAGGGAAAACTTTCCCACAGAGATAGATAGCCTGTCGGGGGTGGGGAGCGAGAAAGGTGCTTGTGGCTGCTTGGGTGTCTGTCGTGCCCCAGGTCCTAGCTGTTGGGTATTTTCCTGTTGCAGAGCTGCCCGTCCAAGCTGAGCCCAGAGACCTTCCTGGCCTTCTGCATCAGTGCCATGGACAGACTCACCGAGGACACTTACCATGTCCGGTTTGCACTACCCAGAAACTGCCAGTTCAGCCTGCGGCCTGGCCAGCACCTCATCCTACGGTACACTCAGGGAGTGGGAGGCCAAAGATTTGCAGCCCCGCTTTGCCATTTGCTTGCTGTGTGGCCAAGGACAACTTGCTTAGCCTCCCCTAAGCCTCCATTTATCACCTTTAAGATAAACGTAGAGCTACCTGACTCAGAGGATTCTGGGATTGTGTTTTCATAACAACCAACAGCAGCAACAGTAACAGCAAACACTTTCGTGGCATTTACTCTCCAATGCACAGTTCTGCGTGCTCACACCTAGGAACTCACTGAATCCTCACAAAACCCTGTACGTAGGTACTGTTATTATTCACAAGAGGAAACTGAAGTCAGCGAGGTTCAGTAACTTACCCAAGGTCACACAGTTAGGAAATGGCGGAGCCACGATTTGAAGGCCAGCAATCTGGCTCTAGAGTCTGTGGTATTAATCTAATATTAGTGCCAGTTGAGAGGAAGGACACTTGTCCTCAAGAATAAGGGACTTGCCAAAGATCACACAGTTAATAAGTTCTGCAGCCAGATTTCAAACCCAGACAGCCTGGCTCCCCAGCTACACTCTACCACTCTTCTGAAGGTCCTTCCTCTTCCCAGCCTCCGGCTACCCTCTCCCCCAACCTTAATCCCCTCCCCCTGCCCCCCCCCCCCAACCTGCTCAGGGACAAGGCCCTTTGGGAACTGCAGGTGGAGGCATCTGCTAGATGGTTGACTCTGGGTGTGAGGCTCAGCAGAGAGAGATGAGCTCTAGATGTGAGTGTGGGAGTCATCAGCCGGCACCTGGATGCCATTTGGGGGCATATGTGGTATGGAAAGAGGGAAGGACAGAGGACTGAACCCTGGCAACTCCAGCGTTTGTGGTATTGGCAAGAAGGGGAGGAGCCAGAAAGCGGGCAGAGGACGAGGAGAGTGTCTTGCTGCTGGTCACACTGTAGCCACTTGCCTCATGCCAACCCCTGGTGTTGGTGCACAGTGTGCCCAGCCTGTGGCCTGGCTGGCTGTCGTGAAAGCTCACTAATCCAGTGGCTCCAGGGCAAGTCACAGCCCCATGCAACCCTCCATCCATAAGTCGGATGCCCAGCACTCCCTGCCCTTCGCTTCTCTCCTCCACCCTCTCTGCTGCCCCAGCGACATTCCTAACACATGGAGCTAACCATGTCGCTCCCTTCTGGTGAGCCAAGGAGGCTCCCAAGGCTCCAGCTTCCTTTCCCACCGAGTTCTCCTTGCTCCTCCCTCACACTTGCGCCTTGCCCCAGCCTCGTGACCCACTCACCGGTTCCTGGCCTGCTCTGCATTTCCTGCCTCTGAGCTTTTGCCCAGGCTGTGCCCTCTGCCTGGAATTCCTTCCTGTCCTGTCCCCACTTCCACCTGTTGGTGGCCTGCCTCTTTCATACCCAGGAGGGTAGCAAAAGCTCCAGGAGGCCTCCTGAAGCTCCCCGGATGAGAGTGGTCCCTCCGTCTGGAGCATGTCCGTGTTTACCTCTGTGACAGCAGAGGTCATGATGCTCTTTGCATCCATGCCACGCCACAGGTTGTGTTTATTATTTCCTTGTTTGTCCCCTAAGCATTTCTTGACTATTTCAGTCTAGCTTCCCACTTTTGATGCATTAGGATGGGACTTTTTATTTTTTATTATTTTTTTTAAAGGTTTATTTATTTATTTGAGAGAGTGCACATGTGTGACGGGGGGGGAGGGGCAGAGGGTGAGAATCTCAAGCAGAGTCCAAATCGCTCATGACCTGAGTGAGCCAGTCATGACCTGAGCCAAAACCAAGAGTTGGACGCTTAACCAACTGAGCCTTCCAGGCGCCTCAGGATGGGGCCTTTTTAATCTTTCCACATGTCCAAGAAGAAAGTTTTGCACACAGTAGGACTCAAAAGAGGAATGCTTGGGTGCTCCTGGGAAGCTCTGAGGTGTTGTGTGAGGAACCCGGCTCTGGAGTCAGAGCTAAGGATGAATTTTAGCTGTATGACCTCTGGCAAGTAACATCCTAAGCCTTGGTTTCCTCATGTGGGTTATTGGGGTTTTTGAGGGTTTTTTGTTTGTTTTCTTATTATTTTATTTATTTATTTGAGAAAGAGAGAGAGAGAGTGTGCATGCTCCCAAGCTGGGGGAGGGGCAGGGGGAGAGGGAGAAATGGGATCCCCACTGAACAGGGAGTGGGACTCCATCCCAGGACCCTGGGATCACAACCCGAGCGGAAGGCAGACACTCAACCAACTGAGCCACCCAGGCGCCCCTGGGTTGTTATTTGTTAAATGAGATAATGTGCACGATATGCTTGCTGCATAGTAGTCATTTAATACAACATGGCTGCTACTGTTATTACTTGTGATTATCATCCTGGCCCTATTGTTGATAACATCGTAGAGAGGATTCATGCATGAGGTCAGGCTTTGGACTAGGGCACCTTTGAGGGTCCTTCTAATTCTGACACTCCTGGTACATGGTAGTAAGTGTTTTAATAAACATTAACAGTCTTTATCTTTCTCATTCTGTGGTCAAGAAGAGGTCAGGAAACACCATAGTGATGTCCTAAAAACAGCTGACATCGTCAATGGACTCTTTGAAGACTTTCCCATCTGTGATCCCAGTAGAACCACACTACAGGGACACACATTGTTGTTCCCACTTTACAGAGGGGCAACTAAGGGATCAGTGACCTGCCTGGGTCTCACAGCCAGCAGGTGGCAGTGGGGGAGCCCAGCGCCCCTTTCCTCTGCTCCACCTTCAGAGAGGACCACTGGGGACGACCAGGCCCCAGTTCTCACCAGCCTGGCATATACTTCTCTTTCCCAGAGGGAAGGTGGATGGCTTAGAAATTCAGAGAGCCTATACGCCCATCAGCCCTGCCAACGCAGAAGGATACTTTGAAGTTTTAATCAAGGTGAGCTCACCCACGCGGGTGCCCTTAAGATGGTATGGACTGGACTCCGTTTGGCAGCTGGGTCAGGATGGGGTGGTGCCCAGCCATATGGGAAAAGCCAGTGTTCACATGGGAGGAGGCTGGCTTGAGGAAAGAGCAGGGAGAGTAAAGGAAGCCTTCTCCCATCTCCTTCTTTCCCGGGGTGGTGGGGGGGGCTTCCACCTGAGACCCCAACAGACACCGATTTTAGGAAAAGGAGGCTCAGACTGAGAAAGGTTATGCTGTTCCCTCGCGCTTTCGCAGCTATTCATGGAGAGTGAGCCCCGGGCCCCGGGGAAGGGGCAGCCAGGTCACCTGGTCCCTGCTGTGCACTGGTTGCTGGGCTCCAGAGAGGAGTCAGATACAGTGCCCACCCTTGGACAGGGGGCCAGACCAGGGCAGGGCAGGACGATGGGATAGATGCTGTGACAGGAGGCCCCAACCCAGTTCAGGGCAGCTGGGGTGCAGGGAAGGCAGCAGGCCTTCCTAGCAGAAGCTGAGTTTGAGCTGCGTGTTGAAGTGAAGGAGTGGAGAACCAGGAGGGAAGGGTGGGGACAAAGCTCTCTGTGGCGGGAATAGCATGCACAGTGGCAAAGGAGGCACAGCTGGGAGAGCTGTTAGTCGCTTGTCCCGGAATAGAAGGGGGTGAGCAGGCAGAAGGTGGGGCGTGGAGCACCTTGTGAACGGAACTACCCTGAGCCCATTCTCAGGGAGTAGACAAGGGCCGGGGCATTGGAGCTGGGCCTTGAAGAAGGAATACAAATTGACAGTGGCAGGGAGTGGAATTCCAGGCCTCAGCCTGGACAGATGACCAAAGGCAAGGAGGGGCGAGACAGGGTCTATGGGAGCTGTACCCAGTCTGACGGGCAGGAGGAGGGGTGCTCGTGGGGGCAGCCGAGGTGGGTGGGGCCCTTGGCAGAGATGAGATGAACAAATGGCCTGGGTACAAATCCCCCCCAACCCCCCCAGGACCCAAGGACTCGGCACTGGATGTGTAAGAGGTCTTGAAGATCCAATTATGTGGAAAAAATAATTAGGTTGAAGTACATGAAACTTCTGATACTCTAACATGTTTGACTTACAGAAACAGTGGTTTCATACAGGTCAACCTAATATATAGTCGACATTGTCATTTCCCAAACAGAATTCTAGGGAACACTGATATTTAAGAATAGCTTTCCCATCGTTTATCACCCTTGTAGGATGGGAATTATTATTCTCCTTGCATTGATAAGCAAACTGAGACCCCAGGAGGCCCCAGGCTCCACAGGGAGTAAGAAGTGTGGCCGGTGAGTGAGCCTGGCCTCCTGACTCCAGGCCCCAAGCACTGTCTTGGCTCCTGCCTTCCCTGACTGCCGTCAAAGCCCGAGTGTTTATTCCCTCACACAGAAGCTTGGATGGGGTCCCTTCTCCACGCAACTGTTTGTCTGGGAGATCCCACAAATCCTCTCCAAATGGCCTGCTTCCCCAAGCTGCTTGTCTGGGTGTGTTTCTGTTGAAAGGATAAGCCTGGAGACAGTTCTTCAGGGCAGCTGGAGCTCTCCCAGCTGCAAGGCTGATTTTCTCCTTCGTTTACCGGAAAGCCTCTCTTTAGAGAGATGCTTAATTATCCCTAAGCCGCTGGCTGGGAAGAGCTGGAAATGTCTTTGCAAATTGGGAAGGCAGGCGGGTTTTTTAGGTTTCCCTCCCATGTGGGATGAGAGGGAGGAACTCCCATTTCTCAGGCACCTTCTGGGCACCACGCACTCTTTCCAGCTCTTCATATTCATCATCTCGTTTCAACCTCATAACCTCATAACCATCCTGCAGAGTAGATCATATTATCCCACTTTACAGATAAAGAAACTGAAGCTCAGAGTGATGATGTCACTGCCCCAAGGCCCCTTGGGTAAAGTGATCCCACGCGGGAGAACAGAAGTTCAGTGTCAGCTCTGTTTAACAAGTGTGTATTAAGCAGGCTCCGTGTGGGTGCTGGAGACACAGAAGAATCCTTCCTTTCTCCTTGAGTGCTATCTGTGCCACAGGGCCACTCAAGCCACAGCTGGGGCTGGGCCTCCCCCCAAGACTGGGGCCAGAAAACAGGTGTGCTCGGAGACAGGCCTCCAGCAAGTTAGGAGAACTGTAACCTCCCACCCAGACTTCTTGCAGGAGGACTGAGGACTTCCCTTGCTTTATGCATATGGTACCCAACAAAGTCAGAGCTGCTACCAGAGGTAGCTGTGGGTACTTAAAAGCATGTCTGGTGACCAAAGCCCAGTCTCCTTCAAACTTGATTATATTCTCACTCCAGACACCCTTCCAGTCCTATCAGAGCTTCCCCCTCCCCCTCACATTCTTGTGTCTTGGGTTGTCCTACCTTGACCATACCACACTTGATGCCCAGAACCCTCTTTGCCTTCCTGCTCCTATCCCTAGTGAATGCAATCTTCTTTTTTTTTTAAAGATTTTATTTGTTTATCTGTCAGAGTGAGCACACAAGCAGGGGGAGCAGCAGAGGCAGAGGGAGAAGCAGGCTCCCCACTGAGCAAGGAGCCCGATGAGGGACTTGATCCCAGGACCCTGGGATCATGACCTGAGCCGAAGGTAGACACTGAGGTGTCCCTAGTGAATCCAATCTTGCCTAACCTACAAGATCCAGCTCAAATGCCGCCTCCTCCAGGAAGCCATCCTTGATCCTACTCCATTGGAAGTGACTGTACCTCCTCAGGGTTCTTTCAGCATTCTGTCCTTTTCATGGGGTATTAGGTAGTCTCTACCTTGAAGGTATGAGACTTTGATCGCTCCTAGTTTGTGAGCTCCTTGAGGAGAGGTCTTGAACCTGGATTGATTGATTGATTCATTCATTCATTCATTCATTGAGATATTTATAAGTCTTTCCCAAGGTGCAGGCACTGGCTGCCTTCATGGAGCTTAAGGTCTAGCTGTCTTCCCTGCAGCCCCAGCATGGTGCCTGGCCCAGAGTGGGCAGGCCTGCAGGAAATGTGGACTGCCCACCCCCATGAAGGAATCCCCTCCACAACCTTTACTTTTTTCAGCCAGCCAGGAGACAGTGACAGGTAACGCAGAGGTTGCAAATGAGTAGCCTGCAAACTGATTGCAGCACAGAAATATATTTGGTTTGGGCCTACACAGTGTTTTAAAATTTAGAATTAATTTCTGACATTTCAAAGATGGGAGATTTTACATGAAAATTTGGATCTCCTGCCCCTCTTAGAGAATCAGAAGATAGGGCATCATCAGTCCCACAAACTACATCCCAGAATCTGCAAAGCGGCTCCTCCTTTAGAAGGAGCATTCATGTACTCACCAGTTTACCACAGTCCCCACCACCCCCTGTTGTCTCCCTGATACTGAGAGTGAGTGTCAATTGCCATTAATCATCTCGTACCCAGTTCTTTACTCAGTGTGATGTGACGTGCAGGGCCCCTATAGTCGTGTGGGTCTGAGACCTCTGAAGGTAAGGCTGTCGGTCCTGTGGTTCTTATCCCAGTCTCACCATTTCCCTTCTGGAGAAGCTTCTGGGCCTCATCTGAACATTGGGAATGACAGTCCCAGCTCTGGGGTGACTAGGAGGATGCTCTGAGATAGCACCTGCCAGGTGCTCGGCCTGCCGGCAGGGTTGCACATCAATGGCTGATGTGGTTTGTATTGGTAGCGTGTACGTGTTCCAGTGAGGTCTCCCTGTGTTTGCTCCCAGTGCTACCCGACTGGGCTGATGTCCCGGTACGTCAAGTCCTGGGGCACAGGACACACAGCTTTCTGGCGAGGACCTTTCGGCGATTTCTTCTATAAAGCAAACCAGGTCAGTGCCAGCACACTAGGCTCTCGGGAGACGCCTCCTGCCTGAGCCTCCAGGACCATGGTTTCCATGTGTCATCAGGCTGTAGAATTGCACTGGTGCCATTCCTCCTGAGCCCAAGCCCAATCCCAAGAGCGTCCTTGGGGTTGGACATGGGAGGAGACAGAATGGGCACTAAGAAACAAAACTGCCTGCATATGCTCTAGAACTATCCGGGGTGGCCCATTGCTTAGAAAATCCACACTCACGTACTTGGTACTCAGGACACCTATGCCGTCAGACCCTCTGCTTATCTTTCCACCTTTACATTCTAGCTACAAAACCATGGAGACCACTCTCTTAAATACACGCCATAGCTCTCTGCTCGGGAGCCCACTGCTCCCCAGCCCGAAGGCTCTTCCCCTCATCCTCCTGGCATGTTCATCTCCTTCCCTGATGTGCCTGGGAAGAATTAGCAATTTCTCATCAGTTGGTGCATATGTGGACGGCAGCTTGGCAGTGTGTACCAAGAGTCTTAAGAATCTCCAAATCCTGTGACCCAGTAATTCCGCCCCTGGAAGGCTGTCTTATGGAAAGCATCCAAATGCTGCCTCTTGTGCACATGTTCGTGGAGGCTTTACTTGTAATAGCAGGAAATTGGAGGAAACTGAATATCCAGCCGCAGGGGAACAGTTAAGTGCACTGGGTTACAGGTACTTGATAGAATATTATCCTGGATTTTAAAATTATGTTTATAAATGATGTTATATGCTTATGCTGTAAGCATATAACAAAACTGAATATACAACAGGTTGGGAAACCAAGTTTAAATGCACAGAAAATATATGAAAAGAAAATGCAATGCAGGGCGCCTGGGTGTCTCAGTCGTTAAGCGTCTGCCTTTGGCTCAGGTCATGATCCCAGGGTCCTGGGATCGAGTCCCACATCGGGCTCCCTGC